GTTAATTTCTAATTTTTTTCGCATACTAAAAGTACTCAGTTATCTCACAGGCATTTTATAAGAACGACATTTATTCAGCATTTTTATATTTACGCAATCTGACAAACTTTAAGCATAGCTAGGTGCACAAGATTTAACTATTTTCTCGAACTTTTCAACTTTGTAAGGTATGTTCAAACATTTATTTATTTCAAATGGCAGGCGTTTTGATAGTTATCATTAGCCATTTAGCTGACTTCGGGCTTCACAGAGGGAAGGTTCATCAAAATGACAGTAAGTTGAGGGTTGGGGAACAGAAGAGTGTTTCACAGATGTAAAAGAGACAGACAAACAGACACAAAGGCAGAGAAAGAAGGTAAGATGAATACTGTGGAAGGAGTCGAATACGAATTCAGAAGTGAACGGGTGGTTTAGACTTTTTTTGCCGTATGAGTATACGTTGTCCAGGGTGCACCACGTGAAGGTAAGTCTATTGCACACCCTATGTTCAAACTTTATTATGTAAGTACATCCTTATACCCTTTAATACCCTTTCACTACACTACATTCCAATTGAAATAAAAACAAGTAACAGTCTTCAGTAAGATTGCATTTTGCTTCACGATAGTACTTAAGAAGACTGCAATAATCAATGAACCTCTGCATGAGTTCGTGGGAGAGTGCCGACACCTGGTTGTGCAAGGCGGATCGCACAACAAATGACATCACAAGAGTGCACGAATGTATTACAAAACGTGAAGCTATTTATCATTATTTTTAATATTATGAGTATTATTAAATCTCTATGGCTTAATTCATTGAAATTCAAAAAAGTCATAATTAAATCAAATTGGAACGAATTTAAAGTCTTAATAAAGGCTACAAATACACTCCAATTTCTAAATAAAGTAATAGGTAAAATTGATGCTATTAGAAAGGCTTGAGATTACTATCTTAATACTACTAGGTGTGAGATGACGGAATTAGCTTATTATGGCATTTCCTTTGATATTCCTCCCCTCCATAAAGCCCGAAGTTCACTAATGGGCTAATGCTAACTATCAAAAAAGCCTGCCATTTGGTATTAATAAGTTTTAAGACTTTAGTTTATTTCCTCTCCATTTAACAGGCTGCTACTTAAGAATTATAAGTAGGGCAATTGATTATTTCTGGTTTTACCTGACATTAGTTTTGGCATCTTGTTTAGTCGCAAAGTAATATTTTTAGTGAACCGATTGCCTTCTAACACTGTAACATAAATAAAAAATATTTGCTCAACTAGGAACTGTTTCGAAAGAATCAGATCCCGAAAATGTTCATGCTTCATTCAACCTATTTAATTCAAGCCAAATATCACAAATACATATGTTATTGTTCTGATTCATCAAGTCTTCGGCTGCTTAATTCATGGTCAACAATGCTGACAAAATTTGAGTTCTGCCGATTGCCCGCCATTTCATTTATCTCATTAGAAGTTATTTTAGTGGTTCGTGGTTTGCCTCCTTGAATAACATTATCTCTATTCAAACGAAGGCTTAAATCGCCAAGCTGCAAGCTTCTGCGCATTCTATATTCCTTCAGCAGATATTCTTCTTCATCCTCCATTTTAATCGCTTTATTTGTTTGCTGGTTCTCGGTGGTCTCTTCTTGTTCAATTTCAGTTACCGTTTCCTCTACTTTACGTGGACTTTCTTCAACTTGTCTCTGTTCTTCTGGAATTGTCGGCCCACTTTCGCCTTTGCAAATATCTTCAAAATCCAGAATAGTATTCCAATGAATGTACGGATGATCCTCAATCATCCTATCCACCCCCACATCCGAAAAGATATTCCAGTTAACAAAGGGATATTTGTCATTGAGCCTATCGATTGCAGCACTTTTCAATACACATCCAGAAGGGTACATATTAAGGTCTCCTTCTTTCAAGATATAATCCCAATTTATGTAAGGCGAGGCGTACTTCTTTTCAACAAAATATCTCCAATCTACGTAGGGATACAGGTCCTGTAGGTGTGGAACGAGGCTTCTAAACTTCTGGTATACCTCTGGACGAGTGAAATTCACAGATTTGTTCAAGTTGGGGTGAAATATTGCAGTTGTAATCGCATCCCAATCCAGATACGGGTATTCTTTCCTTAAATTGCACATATAAGTGTCACTTAAATGTTCAGTTATTATCTCTTCCCAGGCAACATCAGGAAAACTTGAGGTCAATCGTCGAACAGCTTCCGAACCTTCCATTCTTATTGAAGTAGCATCTGCTCCCTTGACAATGCTCTCCCAATCCAAACAGTGGAATCGTCTCTTGATCTCCTCAATCTCATTATCGCATATATAGGTCTGGATGATGTTCTGCCAGTTTATTTCGGGGTAGATTGCTCGTAGTTTTGCAATGCGGACTTCAGAGACAATGTTTTCCCAATTAATCATAGGATGTCGTGCTCGCAGCCACATTATCCGCCCTTCAGTTAATATTTCCCCCCAGTTAATTTGGGGATATTGGGCCTTAAGCTTATTAATTTCTGATTCACAAATAGCATCGCAAACAATATTATCAAAATTTATATTTGGGTAGGTCTTACGAAGTTTCCGAATTCTCCGTTCAGCAACAATTCCATCCCAATTCAGATAAGGAATATTCTTTCGAAGATGCTCGATTTTCGTTTCGCAAAGCAGGTGATCCCAATCGATATTCGGAAAAATGGCTTTGATCTCTTCTATTTTTTGTTCACATTTATATTCTTTAATTATGAAGTCCCAGTCTATTTGGGGATACTTCTCCCTTAGGATATCGGGAAGTTCTTCAAGCATTATCCTCGACCAATTAATAAAGGGGTAACACTTCTGTAACCAGCAGATTCGCGAATCAGCAATAACATTGTCCCAATCGAGTTCGGGATTCATTTCTCGTAGTTCTTGGATTTCAGCTTTGTATACCTCTTCTATAATTATTTTGTCAAAATCAATATCGGGGTAAATCTTTCTGAGGTGGGCAATTTCCTTCTTGCACATTCGGTTAGCTCTTTTCAATGCATTCAGTCGCTCAGAACGAGTAGCTTTTGCTACATCAACCAACATGAATCCGATTGATTCAAGGAAGAAGTAGACCACTCCAGCTAGTAGACCAAGAATGCATATGCAGAGGAAGAGAATTCCAAAAGCTCCGGGCGCTTTGGTTTGACGAATTTGACTCTTTAATTCAGTGATATTGAAGGCTGAAATTCGAGAATACTTCTTGGAAAGGATTGAGGGTTCCTCTTCCTTTTCGGGTTTTTCGCAGAAAATCTTGTTCTAAAATAAGTGAAAATGCAGTTTGAATGCTAGAATAGCGGGAAAATATGATTCTAGAAAGCCAAAAATTAACATTTGAAATTTGACCAACTCTTGTCTTGACACAGCATCCAACCGCTAGGCTTAATTGAGGGGGGCAACGTATACTCATATGGCAAAAAAAATCTATAAACCGGAAGTTGACTTCTCACTTCAAACTACCATGACCCCACTGTGTGTCATATTTGACCACTTTCACAGTGCTCACCTTATCTTTATCTCTGCCTTTGTGTCTGTCTGTCTCTTTTACATCTGTGAATCATTATTCTGCTCCACCCCCCCCTCCACTTTTTTCACTTTATTGTTCCTTCCACTCTGTGAAGCCTGAAGTCAACTAAAGGGCTAATGATAACTGTCATAAAGCCTGCCATTTGATAATAAATATTTGCCTACATTACATAGGTTTCCATTTGAGTCTGCAAGAGCTACTGTTGACACTGACCCGGCAAGAAAAAAGTGAGGGCAAAAATTTAGTGACTC